AACTGTAACCATGTCACACGTAATGTACCATATAAAAGACAGCAGCAGCCCTGGCGGGGAGAGAAGAAGCAGTCGGGGTCAGAGAGGATGTCAGGGTGTGTGTGTGCCTCTGCCTGAGCTGGGAGCAAACCACAGCAGCCCCAGAAGAAAATCTTTTAGATAACTTGCAATAAACTGCCTTGAGACCAAACAACAGAGACTGCTGAGCCTTTCTTTGGAAGCTCGGGCTGGAGGAGAGACTTTTCCAGCACACGGAGCCCCTGAACCAGGTCTGGGTTCCAACAGGGACACAGCGTGATGTGTCACCCATCTCTCTCAGCAATACCCCCCAGTGCCAAAATCAACACATCTTCCCTTTCCATATCCAGCTGGGGACAGAAATTCACAAGTGCCTTACCCTGATAAGACGCCCAGCACCAAGTTGAGCATGAAGAAAGAGCCAATGATGATGAGAGGGATGAAGTAAAGCCAATTCCAGGTATTCCCTGCAGCGTCGTTTGTCTGAAAACAAAGGGAAAAGGGAGAGACAAACACAAGTATTATTTCATCTCGGAAAAAAAACACCACACAGAACCTGCAGTGCACAGGAGATTCCCCTTGGAATTCCACAGGGGTGTCTACCACTGATGTCCTGGTCAGTTCTGCTGTGTTCACCAGCTGAAATTCCAACCAAAAAACTGATTGTCCCAACATCCACACCATGGTTCTTCCTCAGCTCTAGTGGGGCTATCCCTCCCTCTGCTATCTCTGCCAATGACCAGATGAGGGAATATCAAACTTTGTCTCTTTGAGGCAGCTCTTATAAATTCTCAGAAATAAGCATTATACCCTTGATAGCTCAGCTACCCCAGGTGGCATAAAAGCAGCAGGATGGCTCCTGTGACAGTGCTGGAAACAAAAAAGTTCTAATAAAAGGCAAAATAAAAAAGCTCTTTACAGAGAAAAACCAAGTCAAGGCAAGACGTTCTTGCTCCTGCTAAAACACTTCACAAAACTGATTTACTTCTTGTGTTCTCTTCTTTTTCTAGTGAATTGCTTAGGCAGGACTTTTTGACTTCTGTGCCATTGGCTATCCTTAGTTTGAGGTGAAGTCTCCAAGGTCCTATGAGGTGTCTTTTAACCAAATTGAGGAGAGAAACTTCTGGGTTTTTTCCCTTTTAAGGAGACAAAGGGTAACTTGTTTACTCAACAGGGGGCACATTCCTACAGGGATGGAGTTCACTGGGTGAGACGTGGGTGTCCTGGAGGGCAGCAGGCCCTGCAGAGGGGTCAGCCCAGGGTGGATCCATGGGGTCACACCAATGGGCTGAGGGTCACCAAGGGTCCTGTCCTTGGGTCACAGCTCCAGGCTGGGGCTGGAAAGCTGGGAAAGGCCCTGGGGTGCTGTAACAGTGGCTGGACATGAGCCCAGGTGTGCCCAGGTAGGCAAGAGGCCAATGGCACCTGGGCTGTCCCAGCCATGGTGTGTCCAGAGCAGTGACCACCCTTGTGTGGGGACACCTCAAATCCTGTGTCCCATCCTGGGCTCCTCAAGAAAGACCCTGAGGGGCTGGAGCGTGTCCAGGGAAGGGAACAGAGCTGGGAAGGGGCTGGAGCCCCAGGAGAGGCTGAGGGAGCTGGGAAGGGGCTGGAGACTTCCTGAGGGAGCTGGGAAGGGGCTGGAGACTTCCTGAGGGAGCTGGGAAGGGGCTCAGCCTGGAGAAAAGGAGGCTCAGGGGGACCTTGTGGCTCTGCACAGCTCCTGACAGGAGGGGACAGCCGGGGGGTCGGGCTCTGCTCCAGGAACAGGGACAGGAGGAGAGGGAACAGCTCAGGCTGGGCCAGGGCAGGTTTAGATTGGACATTAGGGAAAATTCCTTCATGGAAATGCTGCCCAACCCTGGCACAGCTGCCCAGGGCAGTGGTGGAGTCCCACCCCTGAAGGGATTTAAAAGCCATGTGGGGGACATGGGTCAGTGCTGGGGGAACGATGACCTTAAAGGCCTTTTCCAACCTAAACAATTCCACAGCTCCAGGCTGACCCTGCTGCAGCACCAAAACACATTTTGAGGTGGCCGGTGCAGGCTCTCTGCATCAGCCTCCTCCCTCCCCACCTCATTTCTAACTCCCAGCACCACATTTCCATCTGAACAGTGTCCTAGACTGCAAGGCAAGACGTATTCAATTGCCCTGTTAGAGGTGTGGCAGTTATCTTCTCTAAATTGGGCAGTTTTCTTTATCTCTTCCACAAACCAATCCTCCCCATGGGGAGACATCTGCTGTTAATGGGCTATTGAATATCACTGCATGACTGATAAAATTACAGCATCCCATTGTACAGACCAGAGGGAGGAGCCAAGCATTTCAACCTGGATATAATCTGGAGTTTCTGGAACACCAGCACGGCTTTTTCTGCACTGGATTTCCCAGAGGAACAGCTGCCTCTTCCACTGTCTCTTCAGAAGAAGACACACTTTTCTACAGGATCACTGCTCCACCAGAACCACACCTGACACTCCAGGAGGACTGCAGCCACAATTCCAATTGGACTGCTGCCGACACCCTGACCAACAGGGTGTCAGGTTGTATTCTCTGTCAGTGTTGTTTTAGTTCACTGCATTGTTTAGTTTATCTTTTCATTTCCTTCCCTAATAAAGAACTGTTATTCCTGCTCCCATATTTTTGCCTGAGAACCCCCCTTAATTTCAAATTTTTAACAATTTGAAGGGAGGGGGGGGTCTAAATTTTTTTTTTTTTCCATTTCAGGGGATGCTCCTGCCTTCCTTAGCAGATGCCTGTCTTTCCAAACCTGGACATGGAGCTGCTCCAGCAGGGAGGCACAGCCTTCCCTAAGGCCGGGCTGCAGTTCAGCCCAGAATCTGCTCACATCCAGACAAGGATTCCGCAAGAAAGCCGGGATCTCTGGAGTGATGGAATTCCACATCTGCTCACTCAGCACCTCGGGCTCCTGCCAGCCAAACCCACCCCGGGCAGGCAGCAGTGGGAGATGAACGGGAGGGAAGGCTGATGCAGTTTATGACAAAGTTTCTGCATTCATCAGCCACGAGGGAGCTCTCTGGGGAAGCGCTGAACAGGAAAATGCCACATGGCCATTGACAGAACACCAGTGCTGAGGAAAATGCAAATTCCTCTCTTGTGCGGGAAGGATGCAGCAATCTGAGGATCTGATGTTGTGTGGAAGGCAAGGGAGAAGGAGATAAAAAAGGAAAGTAAAGACCTAAACACATTCTTCTCATCCTTCTCCTTCTTCCTGAAGAGGGTAAAGAAAAACAGGAACACCAAGCTCACCTCCCTGCCCAAAGGCAGAGCCCACAGAGCTCAAACACCACCTGGCAAAAACTGCATTAATTCTGATATCAGTGCTTTAACTTTGTATCTGTGATGCTTTTTGGTCATTGCTCCCAGTCATATTCCCAAGAGTAATTTTGTTTGCAGGATTCACAGAAGGAAATGCTTTAAATGTGCTTTACCTCAGTCATGCATGTACTTGGTGCCACCTGAAAAGTCTCTGTGTAAGAAGTCACCCAATGAACAGGCAAAACCTACATCACAGCATTTCTGACAGATGATAACATTTATAGCACTGATACAAGTAAATTCTTGCATTCTCCTTGTCCTCCTGCGGAGGGTAAAGAAAACCAGGAATCCCGAGCTCAGCTCCCTGCCCAAAGGCAGAGCCCACAGAAAGCTGCACTCAAACACCACCTGGCAAAAACTGTGTTCATTCTAACTTTAACTTATTATCTGTGATGCTTTTGGCCAGTGTTCCTAGTCATATTTCCAAGAATAATTCTGCCTGCAGGACTCAGAAAAAGAAGCACTTTAAACGTGCTTTACCTCAGCTGTGCATGTACTTGGTGACACCTCAAAAGTCTCTGTATGAGAAGTCACCCAATGAACAGCAAACCCCAAACTGTCAGAGTATTTCTCACAGGTGATAACATTTATAACATTTATAACACTTTTATATAACGTTTATAGCACTGACACGAGTAAATAGCCCTGGGGTTTGTTAACAGGGTGCACGTCTGCACAAATCCTTCCTCCAGGATCAAACACTGAGCGGCATCTCCCCAAATAGCAAACAGCAGTCAGGAATGTCTGTGTCAGGGAATGTCTGTGAATGTCTGTGTCAGCTATCAGTGACTCAGAGGAGAGGAATGGGCACTCACCACAAACCCCCTGCTCAAGGCAGAGGGACAAATGGATCTGAGGAGAAACAGCCCAGAGCACAACGCAGGGAAAGCTCTGAGCTGCCCAGTTAGGGCTTTGAAGGCCTTTGGACATCCCACCCCAATTCTTCATTCCCTAGTTTGATTTTCTGTTCTTCTCTCTCTTTGCTTTCAGCTCTCTCCTTGCCCTCCCCAACATCAGGGGAAAAGGAGCCAGTGATGATGGGATGGATGAAGTAACCTTCCCAACATCAGGGGAAAAGGAGCCAGTGATGATGACAGGGATGAAGTAATGCCAATTCCAGGTGTTGACTGCAGCATCATTTGTCTGGAAACAGAAAAAAAGGAGGAGTGGGGAAGTGTCTGGGGCAATTTTATATTTAGGGGTTTATATTTAGGGGCTGTTCTACAGTTTTCATTTTGTCAATCAAACATCTCTGGTTGCAGCAAGCAGATCCCATCCAGGGAGGGCTCGATGGGTCCCTTCCAGCTCAGGATATTCCATGGTTCTGTGAGCTGGGAATGCTGTCAGCCAGCCAAGGGGGGCTGCAGAGCCCATGGCGGGAGCTGGAGGAAGGAACAGATGGGAGAAGGGAAAACCACATAAACATGCAAAGGGAGTGCAGCAGGTTCTCAGCTGCCAAATGATCATTTATCTTCTATTTCTCCAAACTTGGCGACAGATCCACAATTCCATGCCACGATCAAAGCCCTTAAAAATGAAATGTGTTGAAATACAACCAATTAAGCACCCTTCCCTGAGCATTTGCTGGATTACCTCCTGCTCAGGGCAGGGCAGGGCCTGGCTCTGTTTGCTCTGCCTCGCTCACGAGGATCCAGGACAAACACCTGGATCACAAACAACTTGGATATGGTGACAAACACCAGGCAAAAGTGGTGACAAAGTGCTCCTGAGAAAGCAGAGCCTTCTTGGATGTGCAGCACCTTTCCCAGTGCTCCCAAATGTGATAGGTGAGAAATGCCATGGTTGACTCTCACAATTAAAAGGCAAATATCATGGATATATGTTAGGAAAAGTTTTATAGATTTATAGTTATGTTGACTCTCAATATCATGGATATATGTTAGGAGAGATTTTATAGATCTATAGTTATGTTTTATCACAATTAAAAGGCAAACATCATGTATATGCTAGGAGAAGTTTTACAGATTTATAGTTATGTTTTATCACAATTAAATGCAAATATCCTGTATATATGTTAGGAGAGGTTTTATAGATTCATAGTTATGTTTTATCACAATTAAAAGGTAAATATAATGGATATATGTTAGGAGAGTTTTTATAAATCTATAGTTATGTTTTATCAC